TAGGGCCTTTTAGGGTTCAGGGTTTAGGGTTTAGGGTTCAGGGTTTAGGGTTTGGGGTTCAGGGTTTAGGGTTCAGGGTTTAGGGTTTGGGGTTCAGGGTTCGGGGTTTAGGGTCCTCAACCCCACGCCCTCAACCCTAAGCCCTAAACCCTCAAACCCTCAACCCTACACCCTAAACCCCCGAAGCCTGAACTCTTCCTAAACCCCCAACCCCGTACCCTAAATCCTAACCCCTAAACCCTAAACTAAACCCTAAACTAAACCCTAAACTAAACCCTAAACCCTGAACCCTTAACGCAACCCTGTACCCTAAGCCTTAAGGCCCAAAGGCTCGGCTTCCGACGGGTTCCTCCGACACTGGCACATAGCGGACCGGCTCCTTGAGGAAAGCCTGCGCAGCTCGGCTGGGTCTTTTGAAGGGTCCTTTTATAGTGATTTGGGGGTTTTTGGGTCGAGGGTTCAGGGAGTAAGAATTATCCACTTTTAGGCATCACTAAGCTTTAGTTTTAGGACTTACGCTTCTTTGGGGGTTTAGCACACGTGTCATGAAGTTTATGGCTTCTCCACTACCATCTTCGCTAGACACGAATGTGCGGGTGCAAAGGTTACGGTTTAGGGCTCTGGGTTCCGGGCTAGCCAGGGTTTTCGGTTTCGGGCTTGAGGTTGAGGGACATAGGAACCTGCAAAGATCGAATCGTTGAGCGAAAATGCTGCGAACCTTTGCGGCCGTCCACGGTGTAGGATCCGCAGGTTTAGGGTTTAGGGTTTAGGGTTTAGGGTTCAGGTGGGCAAGCAAGCCCGGCTGCAGCACGTGGAGGGTTTAGGGCATGCTGGCAGCACATCACCCAACGCTCCAACAAGCATCCGTCGCTCGAGAACTGTATCACAGTGTGAGGGGTAACCACTCTAAACCTGATTGATAATCGGTTTTCGGGTAAATACAGCGTTAAATAAGCAATTGCCCATAGCCCCTTACATGATCATACTATGGTATACCCCACTTGTTATCTAGATAGGCCCTTGCAGTAAACTGTATGAAGAATTCCTATCAAACCTCCGGGGAAACAGCAAAAACCTCTCTTCCAGTCATAAGGCCACTTACTTCATTCAAGATAACATACCAAGTTAAGCCCCTGTGCAAAGCTCTAATATAGGGGCCTTAATAATTAGAATAAGGCTTTGGGGCCCCTTATACTATAATTATATTAAGGAACCCCCAAAAAAGTATTGGTAATTATTAAGGCCCTTCATTAACTCCCAGACCCCAACCACAACGAAGCTTAGGAACTCCAAAACACCCAGACTGTAGGCTCGCTTTTAACAGACTCCACAACAAAACCCCCTAATTCAGGAATTTGCTGTAAAATAAAATAGGAACCCCAACAAATTCTAAATAAACCCTAAACCCTAAACCCTAAACCCTAAGCCCTAAGCCCTAAGCCCTAAAAACAGTTAAGGCAGATTCCTCAATGAAGGGGCTCGGGGGAGTCTTTGGATTCCCTTAAGTAAAGATGAAATGGCGAACCTCATAGGCCAACCCCAAGCGGTTTAGGGCTTAGGGTTTAGGGTTTAGGGTCTAAGGAGTTCACGATGAAATGGCGAACCTCATAGCCCAACCCCAAGCGGTTTAGGGCTTAGGGTTTAGGGTTTAGGGTTTAGGGTCTAAGAGGTTCACGATGAAATGGCGAACCTCA